GCTCACCCCTGGCCTTCCCCATGCTATTGTGTCCAAGGATTATGCATATATGCATAAATGTTCTTTGCTTAAGCTCTTCCTCTCCCCTCTCCCACCCCTCCATTGAGATCTGTTATTCTGTTTTATGCATCCATACCTCTGGACCTATTTCGTTCGTCAGTTTGTTTTTTAGCTTCCACTTTTAAGTGACATCATGTAATACTTGTCTTTCTCTAACTGGCTTATTTCACTTAGTAAAATCATCTCCAGATCCATCCATGCTGTCACAAAGGGTAAGAGATCCTTCTTTTAACAGCTGCATAGTATTCCACTCATCTACTGATGGGCAACTTGGGCTGCTTCCAGATCTTAGCTATTGTAAATAACGCTGCTATGAACATAGGGGTGCATATATTCTTTCTTGGTGTTTCAGGATTCTTAGGATATATTCCAGAAGTGGGATCACTGGGTCAAAAGGCAGAACCATTTTTAATTTTTTGAGGAACTTCCATATTGTTCTCCACAGTAGCTGTGCCAGTCTGCATCCCCACCAACAATGTACTAGGGTTCCCTTTTCTCCACATCCTCACCAGCACTTGTTTGTTGATTCATTGATAGCAGCCATTCTGGCAGGTGTGGAGGTTGGTACTCTTATTGCACCCATTTTAAAGTAACCTGCCCAAAGCCAAAGTCAGGAAATGAAGAAAGCTCAGATTAGCACAGTATTGTTCCTACCACTAATGTCATCCATTTGTTTCAGCCCCATTTGCTTAGTTTTCAAAGTCCTGCTATCATCTCCAGCTGGGTGGCCAGTGGAAAGAGCTCTACCAGGGAAAGAGCCCCCAGGGACCCCCTTCAGCTTCTATAGTGGGGGTCAGGCAGGCAGACACTTAGCTTTACCATCTCCCCCTTGCCCCATGATTTCATAGAACAGGGGGTTCTATGAAATCACCCCACAATAAGAGTGAGGTTAGAAAGTGGATTGGGTGGCCCCAGATTAGCAGCTGATACCACTCCATTGATGAGTATATCATTTTCCTGTGGCTGATGTAACAAATTGAGTGGCTTAAAACAACACACATTATCTTAGTTTCACTTGGCAAAAGTTAAGGTATAAGGAAGGACTGGTTCCTTCAGGAGGCTCTGAGGGGACAACCCATTTCCTTGCTTTTTTTTTTTCAGCTTCTAGTGGAAGCCTATATTCCTTGGCTCATGGCCTCTTTCTCCATTTTCAAAACACTTCATTCCATCTCTTCTATGTCACTCTGACTCCTCCTATGTCCCCCTTAAAAAGAACACTGTAATGGCTTTGGGCCCACCCGGATAAGACAGGATAATCTGCCCATCTCAAGATCCCTAACTGCCATGTAAAGGAACATATTCAGAAATTCTGAGGATTATGATGAGGACATCTTTGGGGGCCATTATTCAGCTTACTATGGTAGGTATAATCTGAGGGAGGTAATACAAAGTGCTCTGGAAACAAAGAAGGGCTGACTGCCCCAGAGGGAAGAATGCCCTAAGAAACCATAGCCTTAACATTAAATATGCAAATGAGCTAAACCCCATCTAACTTGGCAATCTCAGCCCCATTCCTTTAAATATGAAAAACACCTAAATCCCCATCTAGTCTCCAGGCACCAAGCCAGCCAAGCCTCAGAAAGCTTGCACACCCTTCTAATGGAAATTACCGACTACTACCCTCCATTTCCTGGGCCAACAGCTGTGTACCCCTGACCTTGCCCTGGCTGGCTCACCAGTGGCATCTGAACCAAAGCACTCAATTTATGACATGGCCAGAAAGCTACAGTGTGGCCTAGCATGAACCCTCCAAAGTTACAAGAGAAGGAAATAGTGGGTCAATGAGACAAGAGGAAGCAGCCATTAGAACTATCTGGGGTAGTGATGACTCCCAGATCCAGCCATATACAACCTTGAAAACAAATCCCCTTTCCCATGAAGTAACTTGAGTGGGTTTCCTGTTCCTTGCAACCAAGGTGTCCCAACTTCCAGATCACAGGGCTGTACCCACCTATAATTTAACACTAACACTCAAGATTTAGACATCAGTATCTCTTGCGTTTTGTCAGTCAACATCTCTGAGTCTAAATATGGGAATAAGGAGATGAGGAACATTAGAGTCAGAAAGACCGGGTTGGGTCCCAGCTCTGACACTAACTAACCGTGTAACATTGGACAAATCACCTTAACTCCTTCAGCCTGGGTCCCTCACCTAAAACATAAGGGTGGTCAGAGGACCTAGCCCACAGAATCACTTTGAGGACTGGACAAGACCAACCAAGGGAAGGGCTTTACAAAGGGCCTCCTCGGTCACTGCTGGATCACCAGGACACACCCACATGCTTTAACTCCCATTTCTAAAACCCAAACATCTCTGAAAACTGAGTCACCCATAACTCATTTGACAGAAAAGACTGAACTTATATGCCTTAAAGTCTTCTCTATCCCTTTTACTGTGAATATCTGCTACAGAAATATTAATGCTTGGTTACAGGACTCTGCTGGGTATTACACATAATACAGTTGATGTGCCATGTCCCCTTCCTAAAATCAGGAAAACAATGGATTTTACAACTCATCTGGACCCAAGGTGGTCCTGTATCTTTTTATTATTGTGGTAAAATACACATAACATAAAATTTAACATCTTAACCACTTTTTAAGCATACAGTTCAGTGGGATTAAGTATTCACACTGTTGTACAATCATCACCACCATCCATCTCCAGACCTCTTTTCATCTTGCAAAATAGAAACTAATTAAACAACTCCACACACCACCCCCCACCCCACTCCTAGCAACCACCATTCTACTTTCTCTGTGAGTTCAACTACTCTAGGTACCTCCTATAAGTGAAATCCTATAATATTTGACTTATTTCCCTGAGCATAACTGTGGACCTGTATCTTTATGAGGGTGAAGATGAGAATTTAAAATAGGCCCGTGGTATGTGCACCAAAGTACCTACTGTCTCAGGAGGACTTTGGCAGCCAGTCAGTCTCTACACACTCCACCCCAACCTTGCAGTGCCCTTTTCCCTGCAACTTTCTAAAGACCCTTTAGAATTTGTATGCGTCTCGCCCAGGCTGAGACCAAGGACGTATCTTGAGAAACCTGGCTGGCAACAGCCAAGGTAGAGTGTCAGACAAAAGGCACATGATTTCAAGTACACACACAAAAAGGCATGCAACTAAAGAGCGGATCAAGCCAAAGCACAAACCCCAGGATCCATTAGGTCTTGAACTGTGTATTGATGACTCTGGAAAAGCAGCTGTTCCCATAAAGAAAACACAAATACAAATAAAACGGCAGCAGAGTTCAAGAAGGTACATCTTTCACATTAAACCAGTGTTCATCAGACAGCAGCACATACAGCCAGGCACTTGGTGGTGCCAGCATCCTCCGGCTCCCCTTCATGGAGCCGCTTTCGACTAGTAGAAGGCTGGAAGGATGGAAAAGGGAGATATGTTCAAATAAAACCACTGGCTTCTTTAAGATTATCAAAGTTTCCCAGTACGCTCCCAGTAAATTTGGGGCATTTCATGTGAAACTTCTAGTACCAAGAATTACTGGTCGTCCTCACTGACATCTGAATCCCCACATCTCCCAGATTCAAACATGCTCATCAAAATGACATTTTTCTCCGTGGCTTCCGATCGCTCAGTGATGTATACGGACAGTAAGCAGCACACCCAGCCTCCTCTTGGTCACCTTCTCCTAAATTATGAAGTTTAAAGAGGTGATGATGCCTTTCGCTGGGAGCCCTAAGTCTTGCTCTTTTATGGGAAGACAGTCTTTATTGCATCTTTGTTTTCCCATTTATAAAATTGTGAAGGGAGAGGGGGGAGAGGAGTGTTATCATTCACCAAAAGAAGGCAGGACAGGAATGAACAGATATTAACTTATACTTAACAAAGAACTTTGGAAAAGGAAAATTATAATCAATAAATCATCAACGACTCGCCCAAATTTTTCAACAAATTTCATTTTGAACCTCTAATACAGTCTTTTAATCTTGCCTTGCAGGAGACTTTTTGAATGACAATCCCTAGCTGTGCTCCTCTAATGCATTAAGCATACTATTTATTATTAAATCTTCTAAGGGTGCTAGAGCAGATCACGCTGAAACAAAGTATCTACTACATTATTCTTTTTTAAAAAAACATAATATTATACAATTGCTATCAAAGACACTATTCAAACTCATCACCCTCGCTCACTGGCTCTTTAAACTTAGGCTCCACTTAATGACCATCATCTGGAATACCTGGGCTGGGAACTGGGGTAGAGCCGTTGACTTATTTTCTTCCAAAAGCAAATTTTGAAATTTTCTCTTCATGTCCTCATCCTGTAAAGAAATGAAAACCGTAAGTAGGCTATGTTTGAGGGAAGCCCCTGGAAACAGAGAAGTGGGCAAAGACGTCCGGTCTATCGACCGAGGGGCATGCTCTTGCTGAAGCTCTGGGAGAGGGGAGACCACGTGCCTTCCCAGAGCAGTCTAATCAGCACTGCTCAATCAACACTGGCTGAATCAAAACCACATGCTTAAGAGCTCTTGGCGGGTCAGAGAGAACCACAGACCTAAGTAGTCAGAAGGCTTTCAGAACCAGCATCCCAGATCCTGACAGAGATGGCAATCAGGAGGCCAGAGGCTGGGGCTCACTCCATGCAGCATCTGAGTGTTTCCAGGAGGTCGCCCCCTCCCCCTGCCAACAACGAGGCCAGTTACTGGGGCCCTCCTAACAAACCAGCCCGGCACCCTGGGAAAATTCACCCAGCGAGTGCTGTACAAGTCGCCAGAAGGGACTTCAAGCCCACCCAGAGCTTGGGTCTAATTAGAAAGGAAGACACGTGAACAGGTCATAGCATTAAAAGTGTTTCTTGCTACTGGAAGAGGCGGCCTGGGGTAGGGGTAGGAAGTATACAGAGAACTCCCACCTCACCTCCCTGGATACACACTTCTACAGGGTTCGAGGATTTGCATCTGGTAGCACTGAGAGGTGGCCTGGTGCACCTCTCCCCACCTTCAGAAAGGTGAAACGTCATGACTAAGGATGTGGGCTTTGGGGCCAGCTGGAAGCCCAGCTCAGCCACTATAAGTAGTGTGTGCAGAATACACACCCAACGCTGCCTGATTGCAACGCTTGATGTACTTTCCAGCCCAACTCCCCCCACTTGGCATTCCTCCCACTAAGCCAAGTACACCACAGTGGGTGGGGGAAGGACATAGGAATGAAGGCCCCCAACATTCAGCAACTTTATGGCTATAGAAAAATTATACTGCTCGAGGATTCATTCACCTGTTCTATACCTAGTAGCTAGAATCACCTGCTTTCCACCACTGTTCACTGCATCACTCAGTGTGACTCCCCACTACCCATTCTGGATTCCACTCCACACTGTCCCTTGGGATCCCACTTCTCATGCAGTACCACTCTCAAAGGTCCATCCCTTATTTCTTCCTATACCCACTCACAGCCTCCATCAGAACTGCCCTCCTTGTCTTCCTCCCTGCCTGTCTACTTCACTCACCTGCCTTATCCATTCCATGAACAAATTTTCCTGAGCACCATTAGACGTCAGACACTGTAAAAGGCACAGTAGCTTCCATATCAGAGGGACTCAATCAATGTTGAAAATTCTGTCCCCCCACTGTTATGGACTGAAATGGGAGGCAGGGGCTTTAAAGAAGTAATTACAAGTTAAAATGAGGTTGTTAGGGTGGAGCCCTAATCCAATATGATTGGTAAACTCGTAAGAATAGAAAAAGATATCAGGGATGTAAATACACAGAGAACAGACCGTGTTGGGACAGAAAGAAGCCAGCTACCTGCATGGCAAGGAGAGGCCCCAAGAGAAACCAAACCTGAAGGCACCCTAAAATTGGACTTCTAGCCTCCAGAACTGTGAAAAAATAAATTTCTGTTGTTTAATCCACCCAGTCTGTGGTATTTTGTTACTGCAGGCCTAAAAAACTAATATACCTATATCATCCCCAAGTGACTCGTTTTTTTAGACACCCTTTACACCATGTGAACCTGTGGAGACCTAAAGCCATGTGTAGTGGCTCCCTTTCATTCGAGGGATCCCCAATACTCTGCACCTCCTACTACCACATGTATCAATGTATCACAATGCTCTGTAGTGACTGTGGTCAGAGTTGGCCCCACCCAGATTGTCAGCTCCCCAAGGCAAGGACGTAAATCATTCTTCTTTGCATCCATAGTGCCCTAACAGTGCTTGACACATGAGCTCATTAACTGTCTTCTGAAAAAATAAATGCATGAAGAAATTTAACCACACTGAAACACCCCTCGTGTGGCAGCTCTTCAGTGCAGCCAAACAGAGGTGACCACAAGCCTATTTAGGCCTATATTTAAAACAAGTCATCAATTAGCAATACTATGTAAAGAGAGCTCTTTACCTTAACATATCACAGGTAGTAATGTGTATCTGTAAATACCCTTTCTTTGAAATGTCCACATGTATTCAAAAATACAAACTGTAATGTGCCTCAGAGGCAAGCAGGAAGGAATCCTCTATTTCAGGAAGTAAACATGAGGCAAAAAGTGGATCTAAAGGATGCTCCTAAAACTGGAGACTCGGCTAATGACAAAACAGACCAGAACTCAGATTCCCAGTGCTCAGTCCAATGCCAGACCCACAAAACCATTTGGTTTCTTCAAGAACACTGAATTTTCCCAAAATAAAACCTAAACTATCACTAGCAGATGATTTATGTGAGCAATCTGCATTCTTGTCTTCATTCAATGTTCACTCCACCTTTTGCTGAAAAACAAAATGTAGACAAAAGAGTATTCAAGTGAGACCCCTGCGGCCGGGTTGAACTTCACCTTTCCCTGGGCTGTTAATAACAGTTTTCTTTTGAGACAAAAAAGTCCAAGAAAAATAGGCTATGCTTGCTCATAAATTTTGGGCAGATGCACACCCTGTTCCCAGGCCTAACTAGGCAGCTCCATTTTTTTTTTCAAGACTAACACAGCTCCTTCTACTTCCACATCTGGCCCCCAATAGTTTCCCTATTAGGGCACATGAAAAGAGCCAAGAGACATGTTTTTCTTTTTCATCAAAATTAAATCCCCGCATGCAAAGGCACCCTTTGTTTCCAAATGCCTTTTTCTCCGGTGTCCTGCTATTTCAAATCTGTGTGGTCTATTAAGTGCTAAATCACCTGACAGATTTCTTCAGGGGGGGACTGCTGTTTCCAGGACAACATCCCAAACACATATATCTACTTTTTAAATTTTTCTTTTAAGGATTTGTTGTTCTCAACCTAAGCTGCCCTGAGCCAAACTGTTAGGTGTGGAGGATTAGCAGAGAGAGAAAAAATGGAGACAGTCTTCCCAGAGTCCCAGAAGCACAGCGCTGAGACTGGATGGTTAATTTCTCCACCCCACAGGAAACAGACCAAATGAAAGTTCACAGAAAGGCATATGGCTGTGCTGAATGGAACTGCACTTAAGACCTGACATCCATCAGAAAACCTGCCCGATGCTGTAGCTAATTCCTAAACCAAAGATTACCCCAGCAAAGCCACAGAGGAGTTCCAACTATAGCAGCTGGAATGAGGTCAGCGCATAATCTAATGGCAGCCACAACTCCCAGCAGGGACACAGAGGTAATGCACACTTGAAATGCACAGGTGACAGTCTACACTAATGGCATGCTTCCTCTCCATGAACAAGTGGGACCCTTGATATCCAATTCCTTGGGCTTAAGAAATAGATTCTCCCCCAGGGAGGCTGCCCTCCCCCTCCAACCCCTTGCTTCCTTGATTTAAAGTTGAAGATGGCTGGAATGCAGCCCATCCCACCTGTTCGGGGTAGAGGGTTTGAGGAAAGAGGGGAGCACAGCTCGGGGGACAGAGGTTCGCAGTTAGAACCACCTCTCAAAGGAACAACAGCCAAACTGCAGACCCAGGGAAGCCAAGTGGAACCAAGACAGGCCATGAAGTGAGCTTGTTCATCCAAGACCCACGAATCAAGTTAAAAAAGGTTGCGCCCAAACACCACGCAAAGACAAAGACACACACATACACACACCTAAAGCTTAATCTAAAACAGCTGCGTCATTAAACAGACCCAAAAGGCAAAGGTTTCCATCTTCTTCATCTCTCGGACACAGTTCAGGGCTGCCCTGTATTTTATGCTACAAGGCATTGACCCACACCCACCTGAAGCCACGGGTGTTTTAAAGCTTCTTCTGTCGTAAACCGTGCCTTTGGATCCACGACCAACAACTTCTTGATAAGGTCGAGAGCTAAAGCAATAAGAAAATTTGGTAAATCACAGTGAGAAGGGTAAATACATTCAATCAGCAATATTAGAATGTGCCAGAATCACAGGCCAACATCCAAAAAGAAGAGAGAGGGGCTGAGGTCATCGAGGAGTCAGCAGGTATGGTGGGCAGCACCCCCTAATATAATATCACTCTCTGTATTCATCAGAGTGCTCTGAGCACACCAGGAATGACCACCTCTCTCTGCTCAGAAATCATAACCTCTTTCCTCTCTGACCCTCCTCTCATTGCTGGATGCAAGTTCAAACTAATTAAAGCTGAACTTCCACCCAGTTCTAAGACATTCAGGATACAGAGCCAGCTCTCCCTGAGACCCACAGATTGATGGTTCCTCAGGCCGGGAGAGGGTCCTGGAACTGCAGGCTTGGCAGACAGAAAGCTTGCCGGCCAGCAACAAGTGGAGGCTGGCTTGTCTAGTGCAACAATATTATTCCTTAGACACTGACATTTAACACGATCATCTACATCTACGTTACATTATTTGTCATTTAGTTTTAGTTTCCTACTTTTTTCTTTGAGAATTACAAAGTTACACATTTAAATTCTTAAACACAAAGTAACTAATTACATTTACTCTTACGTGTTTACTTATTCAAAGGAAACCTTGTAACTAAAAGTTACTTACTATTTTGAACACTTAAATAGGTACCAGGTACTTGTGTATGTTACACTTAACCCTTACAAAAACCCTTTAAGGTAGGGGTTTACTGTGTCCCCTTTACAAATAAAAATGGAGACTCAGAGAGTTTAAGCAACTTGCCTAAGGTCACATAGCTAGGAGTAGCAGACCCAGGACTTGAGTTGAGATCTGTGTGGCTTTGGAGCCTGTGCTCTTTAATACCTTCCGTTGCCTCTCAAACGGTGCAAAACAACAGGAAATAACAACAAAATTGACAGGAGAAAAACATAATGGAATTGGAAAAGAAACTCTCCCACCACAGCACACACACATGTCAGCAAACCATAAATTCTTAACCCTTTCGTATCCATACCCTTCTCTGAGACCTCTGCCCAGACTTCGGGAATGAAGTTGTATTTTCCACTGGTGATCTGATCCTTCAGTGACACTTGAGTCTTATGCTCAGAGAAAGGTGGATACCCACTAAGGCTTAATATTGGCAAAGAAAGAAAGGAAAAGAAATCAAGTGGCATTCTCAGTGGCATTTGGATATATAGATTTTTTTTTTTTTTCAGTATAATGAAAAATTAGACTTTTCTGTAAATCAATGGTCAAAAAAAAGTGACCTAATTTAAACACAGCCCTCTACCTGGACACGTTTCTGATTTCACCTAATTAACTCCAACCAGACTCTGAAGCAATGAAAACCTTTCTTACCAAATAAAAAGAATAACTCCTAAACTCCAGCAGTCCACAGCACGGTTATATCCGGCAGTCCCAAAGGAATTAAGAACCTCAGGAGCCAAGTAGGTAGGGGTACCACATAAGGTTTTCATAAGAGAGGTCTCCCCCAATATCTTGGACTGCCCAAAATCAGTAATCTAAAATTAAAGACAAAAAGGAATCATTTTTAATGATAGAATAAAATAAAAAGATAAATATAATCTGCCAGTCCCAAAAGGCATGCAGGTTAGATCAGTTTCTATCCTACAGTTCATGTCTACTGTGAATCTGAAATCTATAAGTTTGTGTCTAATTTAAGGCAATTCTGAGCTTTGCAAGTTATTTAATTTTGCTTAAAATTCCTGAGCCAAGAAGCTTCAAGGCCCAGGCTTTTTTCCAACTTATCTGTGTTCTCTGTAACCTTACAAAAGGTTTATTACCCTTATCACAGACATTCCAGGATTCTTATTAGTTATGCATGGTTCTTCTTAGACCCGTGTCTTAACCTTGGCTGCACACTGGAATATCTGAGGAGCTTGGAAAAAACACTTACTCCTGGGTGTCACCTTCAGGGATCCTGAGGACCAGCCTGGATGTCATTTTATTTTTTATTTATTTATTTATTTATTTATTTATTTAT